CGGCCTTGGGGTCGAGCGGCGGGTGCGGTACGCACGTCAACAGTGCGCCCTTATTGCCGGGCGCGCGCATCACCGGCAACGAGTCCACTAAACCGATGTGCAATAGGATTGTGCCCATTGTGTTGTCCGCGCGGATCAAGAGCTGGGGTTTGGCCGCCGGTGCGCCCGGTTTCTGGTCCTGAACTATGTATAGATAGCCTAACCCTTTGTCCACCCAATTGTCTTCGCGTTTGTAGTATAGCCGACACCTATTGGTTAGGAGAGAGAGACAACACCGCTATTGTCTTTAGCACCGGATCCGTTGGCCATCACCACCACGTGATAGCGTGTGACCATCACTACCAGTCATCCACAGTCTACTGTCGATGAAGACAACGCCCGCTGGTATGGCGGCCAAGAAGAGAGGGGCGGAGAGACAGCTAACGATGGATAACTACGACGACGACGAAGAGGTAGATGACGGCCACGACTCGGATGTCGGCCCACAAGTGGCCGCTCAAGAGGTGCTGAAACAGCGGCCGATGGCAAAGGCCAGAAGGAGGTCCGATTTGAACGCTTCCGGTGGCGGCACAGCCGCTGATGACGATAACGATGGCGAAACTGAGCCCAAGAAGTTGTCGGCGTTTAAGGGCTTTACCGGCTTTAAAGGTACGGCCAGTTGTGTCCACTACTCATAATTGTGTTCATTATAGCGAGTGTTGACTGTATTTGTCTTTTTCGCACCATATTTTAGGCTTCAGCGCAAACCCATTGCAGAGCTCGGCGTTTAAGACACTGTCGTCGACACCGATTGGCGCCGGCGTTGGCTCGACCTCTACCGTCACCTCAACACCTGTAGCAACGGTTCCGCCGCCGGCGACGGCCACTAGTGGTCAGACAAACGGCGCGGACAACAGCAACACCGCCGCAGCCGCTAAGAAGCCATCGCTGATCACCGGTGATGAGGACACCGCCGAAGACGTGTACGACCGACAGCTGTCGAAACTGAACAAATGCTTCGCCGATCACATCCAACGATACCTCCAGAAGTCGTACGCCTATGACTTCACGCCCGTCTGTCAGGAGTACATCCAATACCACAAGAAGATCGAGTCGGCGGTCACCGGCGCCGCCGCGACGACGACAGCGGCGGCCGCCACGAAGAAGTTTGTGGCCGACATTAAACCCATGACCAAAGCCAGCGTTGGTCTGTTTGGTAGCGCCGGTAAAGACTTGTCCGCATCTGGCAGTGGAAGTGACTCGAAGATGACCACCGGTTTTGGTTCGCAAACACCCCTAACCTTTGGCCTCTCGAGTAAACACACCTCTCAATTGATTGATTCAATTAGTTATCTATTGTTTTTGGTACTAATTATATGTCTACTGTTTTTTTTTACAGATACACAGCAGTCATCCCAGTCGAGCACCTGTAGCTCTATCGGCGCCGGCGGATCGCTATCGCAGGCCTCGGCCACCGATAACACCGTCGGGTTCTCGCTATTCAAGAATCCGGGCGCT